TCGAAATTTGGCAGCACTTCTTACTTCACTGTTTGAAAGCGATATGAAGTCCGATTTGTAGCATAGACTTGTAGAGAACATTACTTTGTTATAAGTATACAAAAGCTGACTTTTCTCACTTCTGAAACCAAGTTGATCACGTTTGAAAATCAAGCTTTTTAGGCGTTGAGAAACACTAGGAACTGCAGCAGGTAATGGTTTGTAGAGCGTATAGAGGTAATTTGACATGTTGATTATGGAAATGATACCCACTCCATACAGCAAGCTTACTTGGCGACCTCATGATATGTGAAGGTATAAGATGAAGATTTGAATTTGGCTGAACTTTCGATTGTGGAAGCAATCAGTATGCTATTTACGGCCGTCATTCCTTCAGTACTGGTGATTGCGATATCCACCGGGCTAGCGCATTTCTTCTTCACCTTTCCTTTCCTTCATAGTGTCTCCCCAACTAAACGGATTCGGTTCTTAATTACGATCCCCCGCCCTCAATCATACGCCCAAGACGACCCCTCAGGTCGAGCGCGCCTGACCTCACGCTCAAGCCTGGACATTGTCAGACACATCTTTTCCTCCACTGAAATAATCGCCTAACTTTTAAACCCATGGTTTTTGCCACATTTAAGTTTGGAATTTTTCAAGGTTTTCTTTTTCAGCTTTTGGAAGAGCTGTGATAACAGGTGCATAGAGTAGACAACGCAAAACTATGAATTTTCGTGAAATCTTCCAGTGGTTTTCCCATTTTCCAAGGCGTTTTTTTCCAAAGGCTTTTGCAAATTCGCGTGATGCACGAGTACATTAAACACTGAGACATCACCGGGATTTAATAGTTCCAAAACTCGATTATTATCCAGCATTAATCCAACAAAACAAATGAGCGTTCGAGCTATAGAATTTCGAAGTTTCGGGTCCACCGTCCACCCATGGACCCAAATATTCATAACTTGGACGCTTTTATCTGCTAAAATCTTATGGGAAGAAAAAATTCCCGTTGACAGGAGGAGAAACTGTCTCGAACCATATCCGATTTGCTAGTCTGTTGATGTTCTGTGAGATTAGGCTCAACCAAATATACAGAGTGTCCCAAAAAGATGTGCACACTGTTTGATCGTTAATAACTCCCTTGCTTTCAAGTCTTTTGCCGAGTTTTAGGTGTCATTCTGTAGAGCGAGGTTAAACTTAGATTTGTAGTATGGAACGAATCACCAGTCACTCTTCATTACTGTAGGATTACGGTATGAACTTTCAGAAGAAAGCGTCATTGTGAAATAGGCCTTTCGATTGTAACTTCTAAAAATTCTGAAAATTTGTGTAGCAAGGTTTTCAGGCGTCCTGATTTCACTACATAGCTTTCCACCAGTTTTTCAAGCTTTCTTGATGAAGTATTCACATTTTTGACGAACATTGGAAAAACAGTTGTCACCCTAAATCTGAAATAACAAATGAAAGAAGCACTGTACTGAAGTGCAATTCTTATATTTAGAATTAGCGACTTCGATTAACCCATTAAAAAGTTTCTAGCCTGTTTGGCTCTTTTCTAAAGCAATATAGCGCTTTTAATGGCTCAAAATCCTCCTCGAAGTTCCTACCGTAATCCTACAGTAATGAAGAGCAGTTGGCAGTTCGCTCCATACTTTAAATCTAAGTTGAACCTCCCTCTATAGAATGGTACCTCAAGCTTGATGAAAGACCTAAAAGCTAGAGAGTTATTGACGATTAAACAGTGTGCACATCTTTTTGGGACACCCTGTAGAATTTTAATAGCAGAAAATTCATCTCGGAGAATTGAAAAGCCAAATGGAGTTACAAAGTGTAGTGTTGCACTTTTGTCCTATCCAGTTGTTATCAAATCTCTTCGAAGCTCAAAACGTAAAAAGCGTAAAGCGTAAACGTAAAGCGTGTATCTTAGTGATCACAAAAGCAAATGGTTCCAAAAATGGCTTCTAGAAAGAGGAAGAAAAACTGCGTCAAATAGTACTTGAAATTTGCCCAGCTTCACCAAGTGTATTTATGACAGGCTGAAGAAACGGAACGAATTTTCGGAACCACCTGATACAATATGAAGTCATATAAAAAGTTGCATACGTGCCAGCTCAATAAATACGTGTGCGAAGAAACCCAGGACCACTAGTGGGGGAGTGTGCCATACTACTACCATTTTTCCTCTTCACTTGTAATGGGAGAAATACGGAAGTTGAAGTTGCACAGTTGAACATTTAACGTGTCAGGTATTATGATTGAGGTAAGTAGAGAGTTTTTAGGATGTTTTGGGAAGGAAATACGATTTCTGGCGTTCAGTTTCTACTCCAACTACCATTAGATTCGAGCTCCATATAAGATGGAATAAAAGAGCGGACTGATTCCACTTTTAGCTCTTGCATTGCTCTGGTGAATAGTAAACAAACCGCATTGAGAAAGACAGAGATGGAAGGTGATAATTTTTTGAAAGCTTTTCTTCTACTACGCAGTCTGTTTATTTTTTCATGTGAACAGAGTTGTTGTAAGCACCTTGATATGCTCAGAAACCTCTACAATTCTTTTGTCCGCGACTTTCGTTCATAACTCAATTCTTTCAAAAATATCATGCTTCAAAAGATAGACTTTGTGGAAAGTGATTCGTAAAAGCTCACAAAGTGGTGGAAAAAATGGGGTATGGTAACGAGAATTGCGTCTTCTTGTTTTGAGCTGAAAAACTCAAGACCTTAGTCACCACATTAATCACCACATCACTAAGGTGGGCAGGGCGAGAAAAGATGTGGAAAACCGTCGACGTCCATAAAGATGACATTAATAGATGTAGGGAACAGGTGTTATACTATGTAGCTACCTTGGTAACCTTGCTGCATGTCGTTTTTTGGCTATATTTTAATGAGAGTGTAAGAACATAAGAACGAAGAAAGTCGAAAATGAATTTTTTGCTTTTCAGCTTTTTTTCCTTCGGAATTTGTTCAGACTGGAAAAAAAACTAAACAACTGAAAAACTAACAACAACACAGTGTGTACAGAGACTGTGGACTGATGTACATGGCTGTACATACCAGGTTGTTCCTTAAGTTCCGTCGGTTTTGACTTTCAACCGCAATAAGCCATATACTCTATTTTCAGGTGTATAAGCCTCAGGGAATTTTTTTCTAAAATCGACCAGCCCAAAAAGGCCAGAAGACTTTGCGACCAAAGGCCCTATACCGTGCTACGTATTGCTTTGGAGAATCGTGAGGCATAAAAAACGCTTTTCGAAACATAGTGAAGCAAATGAGGCTCGCTTGAATATTTGAAAAGGTGCGCCTTATACACCTGAAATTAGGGTACTTTTTATCTAGAGAGGTTGCAAGGCACCATTAAATGAGCAAAACAAGCTCTACAACTTTGCTTTTTCACAGTGATCATCCTCGAGTTTCAAGCCCAAAACTAAAAAGATTCAACTCCCCAAAAAATCGAGTAGAAGTCCTAGCTCCATCATTTCTACAAAAATTCTAACTTACTCACGTAAACACCATATGCACCTAAGATATTTATATGCTCCGTTGCCGTAATTCTTCGTCAGTTAGAAGTCAAGTAAACTAAGATTCATGCTTGTGCCGAAGTGATGCTATAATATCCCGCATGATAACTGTATAGTACTGGCCTGTAGAAGTACAAACACAACTTCCAGCTTGCCACAAGTTTTCGAGTTCCACTTTTCGAGAAATGTGGTGTTACCGTAACACCTGAATAGAAGAAGCTATGTTCGATACTGTTTGAGAACCAAGGCTTATAGGAGCTGGAAGTTGTGTTTGTACTTCTACAGGCTAACACTATACAATTACTTATGTGGGATGGCTCAGCATCACTTTGGAACAAACATGGAAATTTTCGTTCTCTTGATTTTTAACCGAGGAAGAAATACGGCAAAGGCGTATATAAATGTCTTAAGTGGATAGTGTTTACGTGAGCAACTTAGACTTTTTGTAGGTTCCGGGCAATTGAATCTTTTTAGTTTTTAACATGAAACTCGAGAATGATCAGAGCTGGTGCAAAAGCACGAGAGTCATTTTGTAGAGCTTCATCGCTCTATCGAATGGTACTGCAACCTATTTAGAAGTGGGAAGTCTATGACTTATTGCGGTTGGCTCCCAATAGTGGATAGAAGTGCTCACGAAATTCCAACTGCCATATTTTCACTTTCAATGCTTACTGCATGCATGACCAAAGCGAAACAAACAAAGTAATCTACAAGATTTGTGTCAAGCTGACATGGAAAATAGTTAAAAAGTCTCTTTGAAAAACGTGATGGGTCAGGCATCACCTCAAAAGGTCAGGCTGTCTGAGCTTCTATAGCTTTGTGCGTTTCCACTTATCTTCATAATCCACTACTGCTCCATTTTTTGGTAGCAGTAAGCTCAAAACCTGTTCTTGACGCAGTTGTAATTTGATCCCAACTCTTATTTTCGAAGACATTATGGCTCTACAGAAAATACAAACCTAACCACAAGAGACATTGCGCATTGAAAAAAATTAAATTTTGGCACTAGGTAATTACCCTTTCGCTTAGTAACTTTTCATAGTCTTATGCAACAACGCATTAATGAGAAGCAAAAATCGAAAGAAAGGGGCAAGAAGGAGCATTAGAGCATTATCGGAAGCACTAAAATGACCACAGTTATTGACATATTATCACAGTCTGCCTGTCGCTTGAATCTACAAAGTGTTGGTAATCACTTGTCTAAGCTTTCTCTACACCTTAAGTATCCTAGTTTCCCTACGATGGTGAGCAATGCGACTCAAAGCCAAAAAGTTATGTTTTAATGAAGTGGAAAGGCCCCTTTGAAATGACACCCTATGCGAGGACAAAGAGTGGAACAAACTGCTTTTGCAATCATTGCAAAGCTTCACATCCTTTTTCAATGGATTATTACAGAGGAGATCTCTTTTTTATTCATTGCATCGGTGTACTGGCCTTTTACAAATTTCGTGCAATGAGTATAAAAATTCGATGTGCGAATTTGAGTCAGTAGACATAAATGAGATTGCTCTGCATAACTCTTGTGGTAAGCTGTGCATTTTTCTTGTAAAATACTAATCGAATGTTCAGTTGCTTTTGTGTTCCGCACTTTGTGAGGAAGAAAGAATTGAAGGTGGACCCTATCCTGGACCTGTAGGAGCGGAATCTGAAGCCGACAGCAGTTCTAGTCCCGCTGAAAAAAAATCAGAGATTGGCGATTCTCATAGTCCTGAAGGAAAACAAACAGGGGATGCCGACTCTATACCCGTGAAAAAAGACAGTAGAGATGCATCCGATCCCAACACTCTAGAAAAACCTAAAAAAGGTGAATCTGGAGAAAGTTCCAAACCCAAATCTGACCAGAAGAAAGATGATAATGTATGCAAGCTCGTTGACAAGAACGGGAGGAAATCCAAGAAAGGGCCAAGAGGTCCCACACCTGAAGATATAGCGTTCACCGATTACCTGAAGATAGAATATGCGACTTATTTTCGCGAAGTGCAAAGGGCAGTGGTTAGTTTTTGTACTTTTTTATTCTGGCATTTCAACACAGCATAACTAGTACTGGATGAAAACCCTCGCAATTTATTATAGCTGAATTATCTACTATAGCTGCATTGGGATTCATGTCAAAAGCAGGATATTTCGTTGTAGCTCTTTCAAAATGGGTTGATCATGAGATATTTTTATATTAGATAGTGCGCATGACCTACTGTCTAGAGCCTATTATTAGGTTGTCCGGAAATTAATGCAGGTTTTGCATTCCATCCGCAATAAGTCATACACTTCTCATTTCTAAATAGGTTGCAAAGTATCATTCATTAGAGCAAAGCAAGCTCTACAAGATGACTATCATGCTTTTGCAACAGCTCTCATCCATTTCGAATTTCGAGCCAAAAATTAAAGGAATTCAGTTGCCCGAAAAATCGAAAAAAATCGTAACTCAGTTCATAAAAACCCTGCAAAAATTCTTATTTGCTCACGTAAACACTATCCACATAATACATCTATATAGGCCTTCGCCGGTTTTTTTCCTCTGGTGAAATCAAGAAAAGGAAATTTTCGTGCATTTGCCAAAGTAATGCTGTGCTGTCCCCACGTAGGTAGTTGTATACCACAAGCCTGTAGAAGTACAGATTTAAATTTTCAGCTCTCTACAAGGTTTAGTTCTCGAGAAATTTAAATTTTTGCTTGGACCACCTGACTAATGAAAGCTATATTCGGTATTTCTCGAGAACTAAAGCTTGTAGAAAGCTGAAAATTTAAGTCTGTACTTCTGCAGGCTTGTGGCATACAACTACCTATGTGGGGACGGCACAACATCACTTTGGCAAATGCACGAAAATTTCCGTTTTCTTGATTTCTAACAGAAGAAAAAATACGGCAAAGGCCTATATAGATGTATTATGTAGATAGTGTTTACGTGAGCAAGTAAGAATTTTTGCAGGGTTTTGATGAACTGAATTACGATTATTTTCGATTTTTCGGGCTGCTGAGTCATTTTAGTTTTTGGCTCGAAACTCGTAATGGATGAGAGCTGTTGCAAAAGCAAGATTTCCATCTTGTAGAGCTTGCTTTGCTCTATCGAATGGTACTTTGCAACCTATTTAGTGGTGAGAAGTGTATGACTTATTGCGGTTGGAATGCAAAACCTGCATTAATTTCCGGACAACCTAATATTAGGTTGTCCGGAAATTAATGCCCGTTTTGAATTTCAACCGCAATAAGTCGTACACTCTTCATTTCTAGATATATTGCAAAGTACCATTCGATAGAGCAAAGCAAGCTCTACAAGATGGAAATCTTGCTTTTGCAACAGCTCTCATCCATCTCGAGTTTCGAGCCGAAAACTACAAAGACTCAGCAGTCCAAAAAATCGAAAAAAATCGTAACTCAGTTCATAAAAAACCTACAAAAATTCTAACTTGTTCACGCAAACACTATCCACATAAGACATCAATATACGCCGTTGCCGTATTTTTTCTCTGTTAGAAACCAAGAAAACGGAAATTTTCATGCATTTGCCGAAGTGATGCTGTGCCGTCCCCACATAGGTAATTGTATACCACAAGCCTGTAGAAGTACAGACTTAAATTTTCAGCTCTCTACAAGCTTTAGTTCTCGAAAAATTTGAATTTTAGCTTACCACCTAACTAGGGAAAACTATATTCGGTATTTCTCGAGAACTAAAGCTTGTAGAGAGCTGGAAATTTAAGTCTGTACTTCTACAGGCTTGTGGTATACAACTACCTATGTGGGGACGGCACAGCATCACTTTCGCAAATGCATGAAAATTTCCGTTTTCTTGGTTTCTAACAGAGAAAAAAATACGGCAACGGCGTATATTGATGTCTTATGTGGATAGTGTTTGTGTGAAGAAGTTAGAATTTTTGTAGGTTTTTTATGAACTGAGTTACGATTTTTTTCGATTTTTTGGACTGCTGAGTCTTTGTAGTTTTCGGCTCGAAACTCGAGATGGATGAGAGCTGTTGCAAAAGCAAGATTTCCATCTTGTAGAGCTTGCTTTGCTCTATCGAATGGTACTTTGCAACCTATTTAGTGGTGAGAAGTGTATGAATTAGTACGGTTGAAATTTAAAACGGGCATCAATTTCCGGACAACCTAATACTATGTAATAGCTGCAAAAAAATCAAGTCACAAATTTACTTCAACAATTGCTAAACGAATTTCGATAGTCTACGAGAACACATTCATTTGCTGCGATTGTGCCATGATGGTTGTACGGTAAGTATTAGGTTGAACCGAAAGTTCTGTCGCACCATTTTCAAAAAATCATAACTTCTTTCACTCACGGTGATTTTGCGCAACTTAAATTTTATCTGAAAGCGTAAAGCATGTAGTTTCCAAAGGCTCCGTGAAGTGTTTCCGACATGCTCAGGTGGCAGAGATAAAAATGAAAGAACGAGATCATCCGAAATTCGGAATTTTTAAGCAAGAATTCTAAAAATTCAGAAACTGTGCGATAAAATCCAGGAAAGCCATTATCCTAATTTTTCTTACATTTGATTACTATCTGAGTCAAGTTTGTGCTGATCAAGCTCTTCTTTCGAAAGTTATGATTTTTTGAAAAATAATGCCGAAAAATCAATTTCCTAAGAATTCTTAAGAAATGGGATTTTTGACATTATTTTTCAAAAAATCATAACTTTCGAAAGAGGAGCTTGATCAGCACAAACTTGACTCAGATAGTAATCAAATGTAAGAAAAATTAGGATAATGGCTTTTCCGCATTTTATCGCGCTATTTCTGAATTTCTAGAATTTTTGCTTAAAAATTCCGAATTTCGGATGATCTCGTTCTATCATTTTTATCTCTGCCACCTGAGCATTTCGGATAGTCTCCAAGGAGCTTTTGGAAACTACATGCCTTGCGCTTTCAGAAAAAATTTGAATTGCGCAAAATCGCTGTGACGAAAAGAAGTTATGATTTTTTGAAAATGGTGCGACAGAACTTTCGGTTCAACCTAATATTTTTAAAAGATCTGCTCGCAACCTTTGAGGATTTGTAAAGAGAGTAATTGTTCTCTTGAAAACAACTGCAGTTTCCGCTATCTTCACCTGTCTAGGCGGATTATTTTCTTCTACAAACGCGAACAGCAGAAGAGCCAGAAAGAGATTTCGCAAACATGTGCGCCGTTCATTCTACAGCGCGGCACTATTTAAGAAAATGCGGAAGCGATTGTCTCGAACATTAAGGAACATCATCTTTCTTACACTTACAACAAGTGTAAAAAAAAGATAATTTCTTTAGATTGCAGCAGCTATATTGTGCTTGTAGCACTCATTTCATTACGAGTACTGCACATAGTTGTTTCTTCTAGCAATTGAGCATAGGCATCCGAACCTAAGCCGAGGTTTTTCAAGAGACAAACATTGCGAATGTTGCAAATGTGCCGAGAATATGACATCTATCACACCCAGTTCATATCACACGGATATAAACCTTTTGCATTGGACATCTAGACACTAGTATGCACAGTTTCGTGCGCGTCACTGTTTAGCGCCCCACAAAAACGTTACAGTGTTCTGGATAAGAGGTGGATAACAGAAACTGTAGAAACATTGATAAAGTCTAATATTTGGCACATATGAGTAGTGAACAGATAATATTCATTGGCACCATTCCCCTTTCCATTAGTTCTGTTCTAGCGATGGAGATCTCATTCCAAACCTATCATCATCTTATATATAAAGCTGAATGTCTGTTTGTCTGTCTGTCTGTCTGTATGTCTGTCTGTTTGTATGTCTGTACGTATGTTCCAAATAGAAAATTCCATTTCTGAACCGATACGGACCAAACTTGGCACACATACACTTCGGGCCCCGGCGGGTGTCATAGGCTACTTTTCGTCATCGATCGATATCGATTTTATCGATTTTTTGCAAAATTTGAGCTACGGGGCTGGGAATTAGCACAGGGGGGTAAGGCCCCGGTCAGACTTCACGCGACTTAATCGTCGCGACCAAATCGCCAAGATTTCCATTCATTTTCATTTCGGACCAAACTTGGCACACATACATACATACACATACATACACATTCAAAAATTTCGGTCTGGAAAAGTATCACAACCGAATGCAAGTTGATCTGCATGGAATGATGTTGTAACAGTTGTCTCCTCGCGATTCAGTCGCGACGATCAAATCGCGTGAAGTCTGCCCGGAGCCTAATAGAGCATGCTGATTACGAATATAATAATGACAGGGCCGGGCGGAGCCGGGTAAGTTAACTAGTGACTTATAATAAAGCGCGTGTCTGTCTGTGTGTATTTATGTCTGTCTGTCACGAAATTCATAGAGCGTTTTGTAGGCAAGGTCTTGAGCTGGAATTTTGGTCATGGCACCCTACCAGCATATAGGTAAAAAGTGCAAAAGCCCAGGCTGATCCGATATTAGGGACCTTTAAAAACTGCGCGTCGAACGGGCCCACGCGGCTTTTGGCACGCAAAATTAGGTCATTGATTCGACTTTTTACGAAGTCATGATTTGCTTGACAAGTACATCTGCGCCTCATGAATTCTAGCCCAAAAAGTGCTCAAAAAGATTGCTTTTCTGTGATAACAGCATCAAGAACAGGTGATCGCTTAGACAGTCGATTTGGCAAGGTTTTACCTTCAGACTTGGAAAGATTTTTGCACGGAAATTTAGCTCAAAGTGACTATTCCTTATGACGACTACCAAGCCAAAACAAGTTCAGTAATCTAATCAAATTCGCAGGTGTTCCTTTGCGACAAGTTTTTTTCTCTCAAAATTACCAATCTTACGTGGAGATTTCAAGAATGAACAAATGTTTACTATTCATTTGTGATGTTCAGCATCGCATGGTGGGTCTCAAAGTCATCATTATGCGAACATGAGAAAGGCAAATGGATAGGAGAGCCAGTGCGAACCACCGCGAAGCGGAGGTGACGGTAACTTATAATAACGGGCTAAGGATGTTTACGCGTTTTTGTGTATATGTGTGTAAGTCTGTCTGTCTGTCACGAATTTCGT